GAGAGAAGTCAGCCAGATGAGCCCGAGGTCTCGAGATCATCACCTCTGTCTCCACGCAACAGGAAGTCTTTATGAAGTTTGCGTGCAAGCTTGGCGAGCGGCTAGATCAAGGAGCTGACACATGCAAGATGTGACCTACGCCCCCCGACTGAATGGCATTGCGCGTCCACGATAATGCTGTCCGAGCCCGCGAAATCGCAGCCTGAAACTGGCCATGCAACAACGCAGCACTAAAGAACACCAAAAAGATGCGCGCACAGCCTGAGATGAGAACATGGCGTGGCTGCGCGAACATGTGCATTCTGCGCATATACGTAACCTCTGTCACGGCACAAACTTGCTCCTGAATCAGACAACGATCATGGAGTCACGAAAAGGAAAAACGTTGTTTTCCTTCGCGCTCGCACGAACATGTCCTTTGCTTCGTTCCGGGTTGTCGTTTCTTCTTATCGTCCCTTTTAAACGTCTTCGATTTTTCGCCGGGCGACGTCAGCCTAACATCATGTCACTTAGAGCCAGGTTAAGCTACACACGCATATATAAAAACATATCTTTGAGACTCAACATCCTGCAGAACGTTCCGTAGTCTGCTGCAAAACATATTTCCCAAACATGTGAGGTACTGGGGGCCATGCATATGGGCCGTACATATACATACATGTATCTCGTAAAAACATACCTACACATCTGCAATCACATGCATGTAGTTGCGCGAGGCCAGACTTGAGGTGGCCTGCTCCACCTCCTCATTTCGAGTCGCACTTGGCATGGCAAACTATGTATATATATAGTTTAAATGTAATGTACGTATGTATGTAAAAAGGAGGAAATACATCGTGTTTTCTTCACACTCGCGCAACATGCCCTTCGCACCGTTCCGGATTATTGTTCCGCCTTCTTACATCTTCTCTTGTAAAACCCCAGTAACGCTTGACACTTGCAGCGACTTGGGCGCGGATCCTGGTGTTGAGGTAGGCGTTGAGGTAGGTGCAAGGCTTGGGTTTGTGTAAAATCAAGCATGTAGTGAGGTGCCAAACATGGTGTTGAGCGCGCGGAAGATGGCGTAGATCAGGAATTTGTAAGCATGAAAAGTGGTGCAACATAAGGCTCCGCAAGTATGTAAGGTGGTGTAGAATAAGGGTCTGCAAGCATGAAATGTGGTGTAAAGCAGGGGGGTCCCAAGCATGAAATATGGTGTAGAACAAGGGGTCTGCTGGCAGGTTCAAAAGCCATCAAAGTGGATTGTAATGCTCAACACTGGTTTTAAGGATGTTAGTGCGACTGAAGGTGTGGAGGTAGGAGTTGGCACATGGGGAATACGTGCAAATAGTGGTGCTGGGGCTCCATGGACGTGCAAAGGAAGGGTTGGGGACATAGATTCTTGTTGCGAAGGAAAGGTTCGGGATATTAATTCTGGGTTGGGGATATATTTATCTTGGTGTCAAAAGTGGTGTTGAGCATGAATGTTCGCCAAGCTGGCTCTGAGGGGCTTGCGTTGGATCACGCAAGCTGCTAACTAGATACACTGAAAACCGACGCTTCTGCGGCTTGAGCTTGCCTTTGCGCAAAGTGCCAGTATGGCTATCATTTTTGATACAAATGTCTAGGGCAACCGTACAGATGTCGCGGGCACTTGCTGCTGTGCTCCACACTGAACACAAAGTCATCGCGGCGTTTCCTGCTAGCTTCTGGCAGAGCGCTTAAGCTTGCTTCGGCGCGAGGCCCCTTGGCCCCTGGCTTCAAACGGTATTGGAACCGTCTTGCTCTGCTGCAGACGCAACAGCAGTTCGATTCCAATGTTGATGACAATCCATACTGGCTACGCGCTGCTGCACCGCCCAAATCGAAGTCAGCAGCTGCCATCTTCTGACAGGACCAGAAGATCTAGAGCGTGTGGCGTATACGCATGTGTGGTCAGTGGTCTATAGCCGCAAGGAAATTCATGATGACATATGATGACAGAACCCTGTCGGATCGAGTTCCGTCGGAACCCTGTCGGAACCTTGTCGGAAGCCTGTCGGATACACTGTCGGAATCTGTCGGAAAACCTCGTCGCGATCCTGTCAAAATTGCAGAAACCTGCAGCCTTGTCACCCTGTCGGAACCCCGTCGGAACCCTGTCGGAACACTGTCGGAACCCTGTCGGAACCCTGTCGGAACCCTGTCGGAACCCTGTCGGAACCCTGTCGGAACCCTGTCGGAACCCTGTCGGAACCCTGTTGGAACCTTGTCGGAGCCCTGTCGGAACCTTGTCGGAACCCTGTCGAAACCCTGTCAGAACCTTGTCGGAACCGTGTCGGAACCTTGTCGGAACCGTGTCGGAACCTTGTCGGAACCGTGTCGGAACCCTGTCGGAAATGCGTCGGAACCCTGTCGGAACCCTTGTCGGAACGCTGTCGGAACCTTGTCGGAACGTTCCGACAAGGTTCCGACAGGGTTCCGACAGTGTTCCGACGGGTTTCCGACGGGGTTCCGACAGGGTTCCGACAAGGCTGCAGGTTTCTGCAATTTTGACAGGATCGCGACGAGGTTTTCCGACAGATTCCGACAGTGTATCCGACAGGCTTCCGACAAGGTTCCGACAGGGTTCCGACGGAACTCGATCCGACAGGGTTCTGTCATCATATGTCATCATGAATTTCCTTGCGGCTATAGACCACTGACCACACATGCGTATACGCCACACGCTCTAGATCTTCTGGTCCTGTCAGAAGATGGCAGCTGCTGACTTCGATTTGGGCGGTGCAGCAGCACGTAGCCAGTATGGATTGTCATCAACATTGGAATCGAACTGCTGTTGCGTCTGCAGCAGAGCGAGAGGCTTCCAATATATACGGTTAAATTCGAAGCCAGCAGAGTCGCCTACGGGCCCAGACGCTGGTGTGGATTAAACAAGCTGAATTTGCGGCGCACGATGTTCTCTCTCGTCGTTGGTCACTCTTGTTCACCCAATACTCGCACACGACGCTGATCACTGGAAGCTGGTTCCTGCTCGGCCTGCTCCTCGCTCAACACTGCCCCGCAATTACTCACTGTTCTTCGCGCCCCGGCTACGATGCTCACGGACGCTTGCATGCCCAGATGATGAAGCTACGCGCGTGCTGCTGCTCGACAATGCCCGCTTTCGATCTCTGGTTGCGAACATTCATCCACGCCCCCTCCCCCATGGCATGGAGGTTTGGCACTTCCAAGTCCCAATGATGGTCTTTCATGGGAATCTACATGCGTTTGCCCCAGGCAACCACCAAATTCAACATGCGCAGAACCCATTTTGTGTTTGGGAACTGTATTTTGCACCACATTTCACGCGTACAGAACCCTGATCTACACCACAGTCCACATACGCAAAACCATGGTTCGCGCCCCATTACGTGTTTGGTTCGATGACTGTCAGAGCCTGCCAGCTTTGGAAGCTTAAGAGAATTCATGCTCAACGCCACCTTTGACACCAAGTTTGGGATATCTCGAGCCCATCTATCGCACCAAGAATGGACAACCCCAACCCTTCCTTCGCACCCAGACTCAAGGCCCGCAAACCCTCCCTTGCACCGCTTCTTGTAATCCCAGCACCGCGTTCTGCACTGCTTCTTGTAGTCCCAGCACCGCATTCTGCACCTATTTCCCATATCCAAATAAGATGTCTGCACTTACTTTCCCATGTCCGAACCCATCCCCACACCTCTACCAGCACCAATATCCTTAAAACAAGTGTTAAGCATTACAGGGGTTGTACAAATCTTATCTTTACTCACGTCTTCTTGTTTCGGCGGGCGACGGCATCCTAATATTGTCTCACTTCGATTCAAGTTAAACTACACGAATGTGGGGTTCTGCGGTCTTTTAATTCTGTGAAGAACCCTCACAAGGATCGTGGGGGTTTAGGTCGTAATCCTCCCGACTGTCGCGGGGGTCAGGGTCGCAATCCTCATAGCTGTCCTCGCTTTTAGACCCTCGGATTCTCTTGGAGCGTGAAAAATTTCAACAGCTAAACGGATCGCGGGGGTCGGGGTCACGATCCGCGTAGCTGTCGTCGCTTTTGAACCCTCGGATCCTCTTGGATTTTCAAAAATGTCAACAGTCACACGAACTGAAAGGGTCAGGCTCGCGACGCCATTCGGATCCTCTGGAACTTTGAAAACGTTCAAGAGTCTAAGATTCTGGGGTCGGGATAGCGATCCCTGCAACTGTCGTTGCTTTTGCACCTTCTAAACCTCGTTGATTATTAAATATGGACAATCACTGGCACTGCAAATTTGCAGCATTTTGGCTCGGGTAAAGGCTGCAAGGGCTGCAGATATTGTGACTCACAGCATTGGGAGTTCATCTAGAGCTTGTAGTTGAAGCTCTTCAGAGCTTACAGATACTGCGAATCACAGCATGCCAGCTCTGATTTTTAGAGTTTGCCGACGCATGTGTAAATGATACCATTCGGAGCCTTACAAAGAACCTAGACACTGCGAGTTGCATCAGTAAGCGAGATTTTCATTTGCGCAGCTGGATGACGCCAACAAAATGATCCGAACAGCCTTCCCGCACTGCAAACACGGTGATGACACGACACTTGTCACGTCTTGCAAATATGCATGTCCTTAGCGCAGCCCCGCCCTTGCCATAAAAATTGATCCGCACACCCTCCCACTAATGCAAAGATGGTTTTCATCGGAAGCATGGATGCCCTTAAAAAGCTAAATAGCCCCAAATAAAAAACAGGGAGTTGGGGGGAGCACAGCGCCCCCATTTGCAACCAACCTGATCCGCACAACCTTTCCTTATATACTGCAAACATGGCGACGACTTGATGCGTTTATCCCAAGCATAAATGGTCCCAAGCATGAATGGCCTTCAAAAAAGTTTTGGGTTGGGGGGCACGCCTCGCGATGACAATTTTTTGCAGTATGGCTGGCCTCAAAGAAGCGGGAGGGTTGGGGGGTGGAGGGGGGGCGCAACCCCCACCCCTTTGCAAACAAAATGATCCAGATGGCCATGAGCTGTTGCTTGTTTATTATTGCAAGCATGGATGGCCTTCAAAAAGCGGGGGGTTGGCGGGGCCGCACCCCCTCCATCTGCAAACAAAATGATCCACACAGCCTTTCCCTGCTACAAATGATAACAGGTTTCTTGCACCCTAGGCATGGATGACTTTAAAAAAGCCGGGTGGGTTGGGTGGGGCTGTGTGCCCGTTACAACCCTCTATACAAACTGAGCGTCCCCCAAGGCATCCTGTTTGGGAAATACTAATCAGAAACTCTCGCCCATTTTCACCCTCTGGTCTTTCAGCCCAGGTGCGTAGCTTGCCTCGGAGTACAACGTTCCAAAGCGAAAACTTCAGCAGAGCCCCTCGGGAGGGTGGGTAGGGAGAAAGTTCTGAGCAAGAGGTCGTCCTGAGCATCGTTTCTATGGTTCAGAAACTCTCGCCCATTTTCACCCTCTGGTCTTTCAGTCCAGGTGCGTAGCTTGCCTCGGAGTACGACGTTCCAAAGTGAAAACTTCAGCAGAGCCCCATTGGCCCCGAAATCGCACCTGGTTCAAACCTGATGGGACCACAGCTGATACCCACATCTGCTGGGAATCTTTGCTTTTGTCCCAGAAATAGCCTCTTGAAGAATGGTGTCGAAGGTCTGAGTGGCGCAGAGAACACGCGACCGGGCATCCACAGGTAGGTCGGAAATGTACGCGCAGGCGGTCACTTCTTGAAGATAGATTTCCAGAATTTTGTGGGACACCCAGCGTCCCTTTCGTCTGACGTATTCAGAATCTTCAGTAATCTGCAAAAGGTATGTGGCCCCACCGGGCCTCAGCGAGCCAAGGTCGAGGCTGCGTAGAGGACGTCTGGCAGTAGGGATGCAAAGCCCGTGCAAGATCTGGTCGAAACGTTTTCTCAAAGTCTGCCCCGCATGGGGCCACAAAGGTGAAGCCTTTGGAAGGCCTTCGAAGGCGATCGAAATCACTGCGACGAGGTCTGCAGCTTCAACTCTACTGCTCTGATGACGAGCAGCCCTCCCACGTGTCTTCGGCTCCTCGATCTTGATGAGGACATAGTCTTGCGAGCCCAAAGCGTCAGCTGGAAAGACCAGATCGGACCTCTTAGCCGAAAGGAGTCTTGACACTCCCCTAGGTCCTCGGGAGCTTTCTTGGCGGGTGTGGGAGGGACTAACCCCTATTGAGATCCTAAGAACCCAAAAGGTTAGGCCGACCCCGCACAGGATGCCCAGGATAAAGGTTAACCCAATCAAAGAGAAATTAAGCTCAACACAATACACGGGACACCGATATCCCCACCAGTTCGAAGAAAGACCCTCGAGAACTACAGCTACCAGCTCGCACGCCGTCGACGGCAGGCGCATGAGCCAGAAAGTGCTGAGCAAGAGGTCGTCCTGAGCATCGGTTCTATGGTTCAGCACTTCTTTCCTTCCTAACTTCCTTACTTACTTTCTTTGTTCCTTCCTTCCTTTCTTCGTTCCTTCCTTCCTTCCTTCCTTGCTTCCTTCCTTCCTTCCTTCCTTCCCACCCTCTTGCCTTCTGTGTCTATATTTCAAGCGGAAAGTGTTTCATCCGGAAAAGTGTAAATTCAAGTATTTTATCTTCCTTCCTTCTTTCCTTCCCACGCTCTTGCCCTCTGTGTCTATATTTGAACTGACTAGTCTCTTGTTGATCCAGAATTTTGTTTTGATCCGATTTTCATTGATAAGGACAAAGTGTTTCATACGCATCCCGACCAGCTGCAGTGGCTGCTACAAAGTCGGAACAGCTATCAAAGCGGGACATGTGCAAGCATCACGTCCATGTACTGCTCTTTGGAGAATATAGGTCTTCCGTAAAATACCTCAAGGAATGGTCAAGGAATGGTCACATAGCCTGCAAACTCAACATATGAACAACACAACAGCTTTTCACAACACTGAGACCCTGGCAGCCAAAAAGCAAAAGATGCTGACCAGCAAAAGGAAAATGTGCACCAAGATCAAGACGAAGCTGACAATATTGACCCCCGCATCCTGACAAGCTGAAGGCTCTCCGTCAAGGTGTGCGGCATGCGTCGCTTCAGCATGACCCTCTTGCCTTCAGTGAGACCACGACCCACACGTAAGCGAAGCTAAGAGCGATTGCCGCGAGCACTGTGCAAAACATGACTGTCCAGCAGTCCTCACAGGCAAGTGGGATCCATTCAATCTACACACCATTCTCCCTTCTGCTAAAAAATCGATCCTGGAAGCTGCCCACGCCCTTCTGCCTTCAAGGAATCACTTGTGGCTGTGAGATGCTATGACCTCCAGAAAGGGCCCGGCAATCGCTCCCCCAAGTTCAAGGGTCCCCCAAGGACTGCAGCCTCGAGAAAGTATGCGAGCCAAGAACGTGAAGATATCAATGCACCATGAACGATGGAGCCTTTAGGTCTGCGTCCTTCGGTACGCAGTACCTTCCACCCAAAAGCTCTGAGTCGTAAGTTGTCGAGTACCTCCAGCGGACAACACTTAAGTTGCATCCTGGCCCGTTTGAGAGGAATGCTGTTGAAAACGCTGGGTCTTCCCGAACCTTCTTGCAAGGGCATCATCATCATCTGGCTTTCACAAAGAATCTCATGATGCTTTGCGAAAAGTCGTGCAGGAAATTCTAAAGGCTTTCAAATAAGCACAGCATTGGCAGAAGCCTCGAAAACGCGGGCAGGGATTGTAGTCCCTAATAAGGCCCTGATTTGCAATAGACCCCAAACAAGTGCTAATTTGAAGTAGTCCCTAATGAGGCCGTAATTTGAAATAGCCCCTTATCAGATCAAATCGAATTTCATACGACTTTAATTAGATTTCAATAGGAACCCATCATATACCCCCCCGCCCCAATGTTTGGTTCGTACGATGAATATCCCCCTATTAAATACGCTTCGGAGTACTTACATCAGGGGGGCTAGCCCTTTGATATTAGGGGGAAGGGATTAGTAGTGTCGCTACAAAGCAACATCACTCATGCCTTTGATCCTGGATACATGTCTGCCCGCAAGTAGTCTATCTCTTGCTCCTTAAACAAACCTTTGTTGATGCACATCCCCTAAAAAACATGACAATTCTAGCCCACTCTCACTGTTGACGCCAGCAAAGCCGGCTTGAGAAACGCAAGTTCAGTGCGGTGGGGGTAGCGGCATTAACGGACAGTGCCACCCGACAGAACCGGACGACGTCAAAAGGGACATGCAATGCCAGGAGTAGAATCCTCTGAGAAGCAGACACTGTCTCCTCACGAAACATCAAGAAGTAGTTCTGGACACTGCCGAACTGACCACCTCTTTTTGAGCAAGAGCTCCAGCAAACGTGATTCCGGAAACTCTGCGATCTGTGCCTGGGATGTTCGGCACTGGCTGGATTGCATACGTCGGTGCAGGTCCGTTTCCCTGTGCTCGCATCAAGCACCTGGCATCTGCAGCAATTTCTCATTGACAGTGTCAATGATTTGTTCCAGGTGTAATCAGGGCAGGTTGGCTCGACCTGGTTTGGTCCCAGCCTCAGGGCTTTGCAAGTGCTTGCATAGGTCTTAGCAAATCGAAGCACCCTTCTGCCCATGACATGATGTGTTATGCTTCAGTCCAAAGGACTTACGTGTTTACTGAGAAAACCTGTCTGACACAAGCATCACAACAGCGTCAGGAAAAAAAAAGGCACACATCCACTCCCGCAATTCTGAACTTTGGCAGAATTTGGCAGAATTTCAAAAATGCTCCTGAGGTTGAATGACTCACATTTCAGTACCATTCAAGCACCTCTTCTCCGCTTGCATGCTGACTGTATTTCACAGTACCTACATGTTCGTTTTGCGTATGATCATAACTTCAGCACGTCAAACCTGAATGGATGTTGTGCAATAAGAAGTCGCCCAAAGCGAATCAATTACGACAGCCTAGCTATCAAAGATTCAGACTTAGAGCGAGCCACGTTTTGATGAAAACATCAAACAAAGAAGTCATGAAGACAGAAATCAGCTGCAATAGCAAAAGAAGAGCTGTACATGGATAACTTCTCCAAGCCATTAGAGCTTCCTGCATATTCAATGTCAAACAGACCCGAACAACAGCTTTTGCAAGGTGGCGAGGAGAGCAGGAAGTGAGAGGATGAGGGTAGCGGAAGCCACAGAAGGAGAAGGGAGTGATGCAACCATGAAGCATGCTGTTGCTCCTATCATGGCCATAGGAGGGCAGTGCAGGCTACTGCGGAAAAGGAGGAGGGAGGTTCGATGCCATCACCCAGCATGATGTTACCTGCACCACGACCTCACAAGGGTGCAGGAGAGGTAGGGAGATTTGATGCGACCGCAAGCAAAATGTGATTCGATTCATGGCTTTGCAAAGCCATCAAGCATGATGGTACTCGTACCAAACGATGCAGAGGTTGTGAAGACCACGAATGGAGTTGCGGGCTTCCAGTATGATGTTTCTCGTACCATGACCACGGAAAGAGAGTGAACACTGCAAAGGGAGTGGGGAGGTTGATGCAACCACCTAAGATGACTCGTACCAGGACCACACAAGGGCAATGAAAACTACGCCAGGATAGGGCAGGCCTGATCCAACAACCAAGCACGGTGTTGTTTGGTACCTTGATCATGCGAGGTTACCCACCACTGAGGATGGAGCAGGCTGGATGCAACCTTCGAGCCTCCATGCCACCTGTACCATGATCATGCGAGGGAAGAGAACACCGCAGGGGGAATTGGGAAGGTCTGATGCGAACACCCGGAAGTACGCTTTTCATAGCATTTCCACGCAAGGGTCGTGAGGACTTCAAAAGGAGTAGGGAGGTGTCATGTAATGACCATGACGAAACAAGGGTACTGAACACTACCAAAGGTGAAGGAGGTTGGATGCCATCACCGAGCGTGACGCTACCCGTACCATGACTGCACAGGAGTACAGAAGGTACAACCCAGCGTGCAATGCTTCCAACAGTGAGGACTGACCTACACAGCTCACAAAGCACCTGTGGCTTTGCATGGCGACCAGGAGACACAGACCATGCTGCTAGCGGCAATACCAGTCATCCGTGCCAACCCTTGGGCAAACAAATCTTCAAGCTGCTTCGGGACCAAAACGTTTACACGAGCACACACTCGCTTGGGCAGTGTCGGCGGACTGCTCATTGAGACTCCCAAAAGATTTGAAGCCGATGATCAAGACACCCAGCATGATGTTACTCGTAGTTAGCATACACGGGAAGTGAACACTAGAGAAGCAGGCAAGCCAAATTCAACAACCGGGCATGATGTGCTTAGTACACTGACCATGCAGGAGTACGCACCACTACTACGTTTACAGTAATGTCATTCGTGCCATGACCATGCAGGGGTAGGGTGGCACACACTACAGGGGTGGGGAGGTCTGAATTCAACCATGAAGCATGATGTTGCTTGTACCATGACCGCGCATGGGTAATAAAAACTGCAGAATCAGAAGGTTCCCTGTAACCACTCAGCATTATGTTACTTCGTCTACCATGACAGCACCTGAGGATAGTGAAGACCTCAGTCAGGGTAGGCAGGCTTGATGCAACCCCGAGCATGGTTCTATTCATATCATGACCTTGCCAGGGTGTGAACACAAGGGAGGGAGTAGGCAGGCTTCATGAAACTCGCAGAATCAGGTCATTCGCATCGTGACCTTGCCAGGGAACACAACACTACAAAGTAAGTAGGGCGGTCTGATGGCAGTGTACCACGGCTAGCCAGGCAAGTAAATACTACAGGAAAGTACGGAGGCTTGATGCGACCGCCAGGCATGACGTGATCCGTACGATGAGCATGGCAGGGCCGCAAGCACGACAGAAGGAATAGAGGACCTACTCAGCTCAAAGAATACAGAAAGTTGCAGAGTCTGGAATTGTCCAGCATGAACAAGCTCGGGTAAGTCACTTAACCAATGGGCAAACATATAAGTTCATCATCAGATCCCCTCCAACAGAATTTTTTGAAAGAATCAATATTGAGCCACGCTCCGATTTCGGACCTCCCACCCCCCCCCCAAAAAAAACTTCATTCCTACGAAGGAGGTGATACTGACCCCGCCCTGCTATGATACAGTCAATAGTTGGCAGCCTTCCAGACCTTGTCTGCCACCTACTGCTACAGCAGAGAAGAGAGAGACAACTCAAGCAAGAAACATCTCGAGCCAGCAAGCTAGCTTTTGTGATTGAAACATCCTGAGCTTCCAACTGTGAGCCCTTTGACAGTCTTGGACATTCTTGAATACAAACAGGGTGACGCAGATTCAACCTGGCCGAATTGCAGCGATACACTCGTTTTCTTCTGCATTCAGCAGTCCCAGGACAGAAAATGCGAGGTGTGCTTTGACGGACTGGTGCTGAACTCCTTCTCAGAAGGATTGTCCCGACACCAGAAAACGAAAGGCTTCTCCTGACGAAAGCACAGTTGGCAAACCAGCGGAAGAAGCAGAACGAGGCATAACAAAGCCTGCACGCCATCGTCCACGCCGCAAAGACGGGCCTGGGAACGGAGATACTCACCGCAGTCCCATCTTTCACCTGACTCGCCTCAAAGTCCATTCCATGCGTCAGTCGGCGAACGTCCGAATAGGCCCGCCCATCCTGAGGCTGGAATGATACCACCGGCAAGCATGTTACTGCTGAGCGGCTGACTACACTTCCGTTCTTCACGACGGTTAAGAAAATCAGCATGGCCACCAGATAGAGGATGAATAAAAGGACGCCTTCCAGGCGGAGGTGCCGAGAAAACGCAACCGGTCAGATCAGATCTGCAAAGCAAAGTGAGGTTCTGACACACAAGGTCCGTACATCTTCTAGGGCCAACTCCAGAGTCTGGATCGACTTTCTGGAGACTGTCCTTTGGACCTCGCCGTCACTAGAGTGGTCAGAATGGAGCAGCTCCACCCGTCAATCTTAAGTACCCAGGGACCCAGCTGCCGGAAGCGCCAGTCTTGCCAGCACCCTCCGTAAACTGCTGGTAATCCATATCGCTCATGTCAGCATATTGGGCATGTGTGCCTGGCACAAGTCGCGGTCACTCACTGCCAGCCAAGGCTGCTCGCATGTCAGCGTGGCCTGACCCCATCTCACCATACCTAGGCTAGGAAGGGCAGCACTGCGAAATTCACGCTAAACTTGAGATTCTACGCGTGAGCTGAATTAAGTGTTACTGTGTGAGAAAGCTCCACGCAAGAGAGCTCCGTTAGGATGCTTCTGCGAGAGCTCAATAAATCATAGTGATAATTGGAATAGAAGCGAGAGTAGAATAAAAAATCTTGTTGTAATAGTAATCAAAGTAATCATCACAGTAATGGTAAAACTAGACGACGTATTATTGGTAATGATGATGATAATGGTCATCTGCTTCTCACGAATAATAATGGTATTAACAGTGATAGCCCACATAATCCTCCCTTACCCTCCCTTGCGGCAGCATGGCGATGACATGTGCTTTTTTTGCATAAGCACAGATGGGCTTACAGTATACAAAACAAGGGGGCTGGGGGGGACGGCCCAGCCCGCCCCATTTGCAAACAAAATGATCCGCACAGCCTTCCCCTACTGCAAACATGGAGACGATATGATTTTTGCACCCTAAGCATGGATTGCACGACAAAAGCCGGGGGAGTTGGGGACGATTCGCACAACCTTCCCTTACTGCAAACATGCTAATGGCATGATGCTTGTTTTTTGTTGCAAGCATGGATGGCTTTTAAAAAAAGAGGGTGGTTGGGGGGCACACCACCCCCATTTGCAAAACAAAATGATCTGCACAGCCTTTCCCCATTGCAAACATGGCGGTGACATGTTTTTTGTTCCGCAAGCATGGATGGCTTTAAAAAGAAGGGGGGTTGGGGAAAAAACAAAAAGCCAGGAAGAAATCCAGGTAGCCAAGAAGCAGGAGAGGCCACGACGCCAGCAAGCCCAGAAGCCGAGAAGCGAGCAAGCCGAAAAGCCTAGAAGCATCAAAAACGCCAAGAAGCCGGAGAAACCAAGAAGCCGGAAAACCGAGAAGGCAACAAGCGAAGCCGAGAAGCGGAGAAACCAAGAAGCTGGCAAGCCAAGAAGCAAAAAAAACAGTAGTACTCCCTGCTATGCTGCCAAATCCACTCTCACTGAACAACTTGGATAAACCAGCCCTCGAAGCTAGCATGAATCAAACACGGACAGCTTCAGCAATGCAGCTCAGTAATGAGGCGCAAAGACAGGTATGGGCTGTTGGGACATTAGTCGGCAGGTGCATGGCAGGAATATGGCTGACAACTCCAAAGCGAACAATCCGCCGACCTCTGCGGGCCTCCTGGACAGTCAGACTCAACAGAGGTTGTTGTCCTTGCCTGGAAGGCCACAGGTATGGGGGCAGCTCGGCAAGGCTCCAAACCGAAGCAAAGCAGCTGAGTCAGTTCTCTGGGGGCTTTCACCAAGAGGGCTGAGCCCAGACCCTATGAAAGGCATGCTACAATTCTCAGAAAAGTGACACAATGCTCTCCAGCTGTCTGGGAGGTAGGCAACAGTCCTGCACCGCTGCGACTGCAGGCACCGTAAGGCATGAAAACGCCCGGGGCTGGGCCCAAATGTAGCTTCAGTTTGACGCCGCAACTCGGCCCGTAGTCTGTAGGCACATATGATCACACTCGGAGGCGTAACCCTTTGTCCCCTGCTGAAACCGGTTCCTGGCGCATGGTACTGGAACTCATCGAGGCCAATCTGCTGACAATAAGCTTGCAGTGTTTGCAAAACGCGTGCATCTTTGTCTGCTGGCCATTGTGGCGGGGGGGAGCACATGTGGCAACGTTTCAGAATGTTCCAAAATGGCTTCGCTCCGGTGCCTGATAAACTTCCTCGCTTGCTGGTCGGCAGCATGAGCTAGAGGCTCGTAAGGAAGGCATGAAATGAAGCAAGATCACAGAAGCAAGTAATGACCAGATTTGAAAAGTAAGGGTGGACGAACAGTTTGCTCGTCGGCTGCACCTTCGACAAAGGAGGAGAGCACTTCCAGGCTAGGCCGTGAAGTAATCGGGAAGCGCGAAAACAGATCAACGCACTGGGATGCCAGCGAACCATCGGGGCTACCTCCGTAAGATGAGCTTGGGCTACCTCCATCACTAACAACAAAGTTCAGTCATGCAAGGAACCTACCCTTGTCAACGGCCTTCCATTCCTGGACTCGGCTGGCCATCGGAGGGCCTGACACAGCACATCATGGGAGCAAACTGCTGCAGCATCCTCCAAACTCCAAGCGGATGCAGACCCGGCCCTAAGTGTGGGTTTTGTGGCGGCCCAGGCGGCCCGGGCGGCCCATACTCATCTCCGGCACCCACGGGCATGTAGCCTGCGCACTGCGAACTTTGGGAGAATCTGCGGAAACTTCTTGCACAATAACCTGCTGGTTGCCCAAAGGGAGGCCCAGCATAGGCCTGGCAATACATGCATGAGCATGCCTGAGCAGCTCGACTTTGAAGTCTATAGGGCTCTACTCAAAGTGAAAGGAATCAAACAAGCCAAGCACACCATGGGCTGCCCATTCATATTCATCACGCTACCCTGGCGTTTGGGCAGGTCGCAATAGTGCTGCTGTTCTCTGTATCTGGGGGGGCAACCAAGGCAAACAGCGCTGTTGCCGGATTTGGCTGCACAAACCTTGGCAAAAATCATTGCAGATTTTGGTGCTCATGACTTGCTATCAAACCCATGAGCCTGCTACCTGCAGCTGTGGCCCCGCCCAGCTCTCTGGAAGTCACCCGGAGCCAACAAAGCTAACTGACGCTTCGGGTCTTCTCTGCCCAAATCTGCTCAAGTGCGCAAGAATAATCAGTCTGAACAGCGACAGGGACAACGTGGGTACCTTATGGCCAGCAACAACATTGCCAAGTGCCAATCTATGAAAACAAAGATCTGTTTGCGGCGCGTGCTGGCAGGACATCCGAAGCCAAGAGCTGTGCGACAGGAAAGCAGTCGTCAGGTGAGACATGTAAATTCTTCTTGCATATGCTGGCATCTCATCCTTGCGCCAGTGCCTGATCCACAGCTGATGGAAGATTGACATGCAAAGCACTGCAAAACAAGCCTCCCTCTCACGTGCCCATCCAGTGTCATGTGGACGAAACCTGAAGCTTAGCAAGTTAGCAAGCAGGCATGAAGGAGTCAACATGAAAGCAATTGCTTGTATCCATTTGCCTGTGCAAAGGTGCCAAATCCATGTGCTTCTGGCCTCAGCAGCACGTTGGAATCATTAGCCCTCGTTGAAAATGTGAAGGGGGTAACCGTAACCAAGGTCGGTTCAGCTCAAGTCGGGAACGCGCAGTTCCTGCTAGCATTCCAGGCCAAGATTGAGAATCTGTGCCCAACAGCTGTAAGTGCCGACATAGGTGTTCCTAAACCAGCCGTCAGTTCCCCCGGCCACTGAAGGCCTTCTGGGCCTTGGCATGGAGGCGCCTAGCGGGGATCACTCGCCTCGGAAGCGTTGGAGAAAGCACCGGAACCCCGCCCTACTACTTGGAACAGATCAAGGAAGGGCTCAGTACGGAACGGCTCAGATCTGAACTCCAAGACAAATTGCTCCACCTGCACGATGGAAGTATCAACATGTCTGGCCCAGCGGTTTTGAACAACTTTGCAAGCGCAAATCCGCCTTTGATTGGTGTGCGCGAGCACGTACTGGTCGACTCGCACCAGGGGCAACACGGTATTTGGGACCTGCGGAGATGATCTATCATCAAGGCCCTTTCCATCACGAATCACATGAATCATAGGACATCAGATATCAATCACTGCCCATGATCCCATGAACCGTTCAACCCGCTTTTCGTCTTGAGCTGCCTTTGGTTGGATGGAGTTCGAGGCTGCTGTGAGCAGGGCCCTGCAAGCAGCTGCAATCTCGGATCATGGCGCATACGCGAACAGCAAAGAACAAGGCAAGTTTGGAACATGCTGGGCCTGCTCTTCTGGAGCTTCCGGGTAGCCAGCTGAAGGCCTGTAACAAAGGTATGTGATCACAGATCCCACCCAACTTTTTCTTCCTTTCACCCAGACGCATCTTGGAGACATATTCTGGCCCACATCATCCACAAGCCTTGCAGGCCCTGCTGAACATTTTCGGAAGAGCCGGGTCCCATGTCACAGACTCCAAGGCACCTTTTGAGATTGATGTGTCCAACTGGAAAATAATCCAGATGGTGAGAACATTTTTCAGGGATCAGCCTGCGGGGGTGCTGAGCCTTCGTTGAGGGGGACCGATGTCAGTGGCCTTTGAGTAGGGGTGTCTCAAGATCCTGGCTGCATTTCGCCCAATTGAGTCTTGTAGGTACTGATGCCAATATGGGAGGTGCGATCCAGTTGAAGCATGGGTTGTTTTTTCGCGCACAATCCTAGAGGCTCAGGACGAGCGGCAACATTTGAAACTTCGCTGCAAGGGCACTTAGGTATCTGGCAGATGCAACACAGGCCGTGTTCACCATTTGCTTGGTCAGAAGCCTTTGCTACATACTTGCACGACTGTGGAGGGTTCAAAATGCACAAAAATGACTCAGATCCAAGTGCCTCAGGCTCTTGACCATCCTTCTTTGATCACCGAGCTGACCTGAAGGCATCTCAAGGTTTTCTCTTGCAAACATTGGTTCGCCTCGGCCCGCATGCCAGAGCGGCCTGACGTGCTTGAGGTGCGCATTGGAAGGAAATCTTTCCAGGAGCTGTGCGATTTGAACCTACAGGCAGGAGTGCAGTCCCAAAAAGAAATCTCAAGATGTGCAGGTAGCAACATTTGCCTGGACGCTTGCGGCGCCATTCCATGACCTGCACCCATGTTGACACCACATCAGCTTGCTCAATCTAGCAATGCTGCCTCCATTCACGAAGAGATTTGTCCTAAGACTGAAGTGGCTTCAGGTTCAAGCCGCTCAGCTTTGCAGCAAAATACATCATAAGACACAGCCCACAGAAAAGAAGAGGAAGGCGTCAGAGAACACGTGCGTTCTCCAGTCCTTGGAAGCCTCGTACTCAGTGAAAAGGGTAGGGCACCAAGTGGCTTCTGCCTACATTGAAGCACAACCGCCGCCACAAGCCATGCGCGGGCATGGAAAGCATATGAATTTGCACAGAAATCACGCAAGTCTCGCAGGCTGTGTGATTTGGAGGGGGAGCCAAACCTGAACCAGCCCAACCTGAAGTTTGCACCTCTATTGCTGCTGTGAATGAAGCCTTGCTGTCACTTTCGCAGGAGTGCTAGACACGGCAGGATCGAGGTTCAAGGAGGCATCCTGCAGCGCAGGTACATGGACCCTGTGCAGAATCCCAATTGCCCACATGCCTGTTGAGAAACGCCCGCAACTCTTGGCATCCCACCCAGGAGGAGGAATTCACCTGGTCGCCAGAACGGCAACTTCCAAAAAACAAGCAGGAGCTTGCCTTTTGTCAGCGACCGCCACTGCGACTTCTCATCGTCCTGCCAGGAAAGCACACACTATATCCAAGGGTCAGTGCCCTCATGCAACTCAAGCCTGGAAATCCGGGCTACAGACAGCTGACGAGGTCGACAAACTTCCTGCTGCTTCTGGTGCTGTAATTGGAATTTGCGCTTGTTTTCAACTAGCACCTGCGGAAAAATATAAGGCCTGCAACATAATCTCGCGTGCAAATTTATCGCACCTCTCCCCACATCAAACATGTTTCTGCATGGTTGAGGCGAACCAAAGCTGAAAAAAGGAAACGTGGTTTCACAGTGGTCCACGAAGGAAAGGCGCAGTTCAACATACATGTTCTGAATGCAGACATGCAAGTACCAATGGCAAGCCTGTCGCACAAGGAACAGGAATTGTGTTGTCGTCTTCCCAATCTGCAGCGGTTGTCACGTGACTTCGGCACCAATGGCCCTGTTAGTTGACAAACATCCGGTGCATCCACAGCATTTGTCTTTACCGTCACAACCCTCCAAGCCTAAAGAGCCGCCATCGCTTTCGTTTTCACTGCCAGTGCCCCAGGACTCTGCTGCCGGCATGATCTGGCAGAAGACTCGTTGATACCCCAAAATTGGGATACATTGAGTGTCCATTGCAAAGCCAAAAAAATCAAACAGGATATGTACCGGGATGGCATGCACGCCCGCACAGGCTGTATGCGGGCGTTTTGGCCTGACATGTTGGATTCATCCCGTTTTTGCGCCATGTGTATAAACATCATGGATTATTCCAACCCTGTTAAGCTTGCAGCAAGTCATAGCACGCAGAATCAGAATTGACGAGATCCACGACCTGCGTGCAGAAATGCTCGCGTGAGATGCCATGACATGTATGATACAGGGGTCCGGCATCACCAATAAGGTCATTCACGAGATCATTCACCTCAATGAACCCAAGATTTACGCCTTGTCTGTGCAACTCCACATGACTGCCTGCGACCATTCATGGTGTCGTCTTGCAATTGATGGTGCTGTAGCCGGCCGCTCCTTGTGCAAGGTCGCGAAATTTGCTAACAATGTCATTGTAGTTCTAACATTGCAGCCTCATCGTTGAAGGTGCATTGCGAAACAACCATCCGAAAAACAGCAGAATGGAAAACACCCCCAACGTTGTGCCGGGTTGAAACAGTGTTGCAGCTTGCATATCAAAAACTGAAGGTGTGTCAACATTGTCGTGACGCGGCATCATCACTGCAAAATCATTGTTTCATGTATTCGATGAGCATGCGTCCTGCATTGTTGTTGCTCAGCATCTGAGTGTGTGATATTCAATTTATGAACCAAGACAATTTCTGCGCAATGTACTTTTGCGGGCCGGTTTTGGGGCTTCAAGGTTTGGATCCAAACTAAAAACGGCAAAGCTTACGTATACTGATACCATTTTTATGCAATATGTGTTTACAAACAGATTCCCAACAATTCCACATCAATCAATCAAATGGGTGGGACCCAAAAAATATGACTGAAGGAGGCTCCCTTCCACACCACCCACTTGAAGCATGCACGGAACATGGAAATCTCATGGCAACAAAGCTGGAAACATGTAGTCAACATCTGCGAAAATTGGCTGGCACATTTCCGACAACATGTCGTGCCGCAATTGTTTTGGACATACAAAACAACTCATTTTCCCTATGAAATCAAAATTGATCCGCACACGGAATGGCGTCTTATTTCCCTGTAAAAAAATACTGGGCACTCAACGTCAATATTCCGAAATATCCATACAGATATTTGCTACCCCCTTGAAACCTACATTTTGATCTAACAGCATGGCCTGCACAGTGAAAAGATGTGAAAGGTGCTATTTTGGCCTTACCATTTCAGGCCTCTAACTCTAAATTTCCAGAACACTATAATCCCAGCATTCAGAATTCCAGTGTCCCAAAACCTCAGAATTTCAGAAGTCCAGAGAATTCCAAAATCCCAGAATGCCAGAATTCCTGAATTCCAGACTTTCCAATGCTTGACGCAATATTCAATGAGACTTAGTCTCATTATTCGGTTGCATTATTCCAAACAATCAGAATAAATATTCGCTATACGTCTCAGTCATATGAATAACATATTTTTCACCTTGAGACGTTCAATCAGCGAGCGGCCTTCTTCTTGCAATGGGGCATGCCTCAACGAATCCCTGCTGTTACCCCATCCCTTCAAGAGAGAATCAAGGCATGATGCAGTGACGTCCAAGCGGCTTGGCCCATCCGCCTACACGGGCATGCCAGGATTTTACACACAAGGCAGCTTCAGATCACACAATGGCCCCCACCCAGGAGTTGGCAGGCTCAAGGTGAGCATATCATCTGATGCACGTGTGCCTTGCTACATCATTGTCGAGGAAGCATCTCAACTGTGCACCGTCCAATAGCCCTCGCCAAACTTCAAGTGAAATCAAAATGGGCGCTATCTCAAGTTCAAATATAAAATCTTTGGATTACTTAAGCAGCCTGCACATGACCTTTGTATCGACCGACTCTCTAAAGAATCCGGCCACGCACCTGCTGGGCCCAAAAAGGACGGCACCTATGCGGCCCCTGCCCTGCTCAGGCTCGCAAGCACCGTCTGCACACAAAATCCAAGTGTCCCGTGAGAAAGGCTGAATGCAAAGAGGCTCAGTGGAAAACACTTGCTGAACAAGTGAAGACACGGTTTTACTGAGCTCCTGATTCAACACCACTGGAGAAATTGCAACCTTACAAGCTGAAGCGAGGGTCCTAACAGCGCAGCACGGGACCCTGCCAAGGGAGTACCCCTCAAAGAAAACCATCCTACCCTCAAGGCATTCAAGAAACCCGAGGCTCAATCTCAATCTTACCTGCATCACGAATGCTTTTCAGAAAAGAGGACAGCTCCTCACGCCTATCAGGGGTATGCCCTACGACCCTACGAAGACTTTCCGATCCGCGAACTGGGACACGTCAACCTGAAGGCCCAACATGTTGAAGACAGGCGTTTACCTCTGAGCCAAACGACTTGAGCCATATGACAACCAACAGCGTAACCCCGTAAACCACTAAGTTGCGTTCACTCACTCAAACTCAGCGCAAAAACCAAAGTGGCACAGCTCACTCAAGTGTACATGCAAGACGCGACAGACCTTGTTTTTCCGGTGGGATGCATACATCAAGAATTCCCGCATGGCGGTTCGCCATTCCTGCAAAAACTACAAGTGCAAAACACGGGTTAGGGTTTGAGGCCTGAGCCTCACACACGGGATGCGGGTTAAGGACAAACCCCCCTAATTAACCGAAAAGCTATGCCCCTCGCAGAGCACTCTCTATGCTACCCAGCAAGTCTGAGATGTCTTCGCAGGAGACCTCCACCCCATGCAGCGCAAGTTTTCTCATTAGTGACCTTGATGGGGCGTCGGCCGGATTCGATGGTGACGGCACCCTTTGGAACCACGCAAGGATCTCCGCGGAGCACTCGTCAAGAAGGAGCATGTCCAGCAACTTGTTCGCAATGGGCGACCTAGCGGCCCCTGAAATTGCAATGTCGCGCGCAGCATTATTGTCTACAAAGAAAAGAGTGGGTTTGCACGACAGTAGCCTCCTCCATTTCCTCATGGCGCAAATCAGCGCCACCACTTCGGCTTCGAAGATTATGGTCTCCTTCACCGTCTCCCCTAGCAAGACCCTCAAGCTTTTGGGGACCAGCGCGGAGAAAGCGGCGACGAGTGCACCCGTTGCATTGAGAATGATTCCGCCCACCCCACATGGCCAGGTGCCAGAAGAGGGGTCGTACGACGCATCGGTGAACACATACCACGGCAACTCCCATCCGACTTTGACCCCGGACGACTCTAACATCTTCGCGAACCTGGCCAATGCACGAGTGCAGCTGGCTGATGTTGTTGCGGTGGCTGCCAAGTGGGCATGATCTGACACTGCTCGGAGGCATAGCCTCCCTACACGGCCGAACAATTGCCCTTCGGCGAATTGCATCCGCCCTCGCAATTTTAGAGCTTGGGCTTTGGTTAGGGAACCAGCGGAGATGATGGACCGGATGGATTCAACCAACTCCTTGATCCTTTTTGCAGTGTTGCTGATTGTCAAACGCCCGTCCAAACAAGATGTGAGCTGCACGGTCACTCCAAGCGCGGTAAAAACCTGACTGAAGTCCATATGCTTGTCCCCACTGGAAGAGAACTGCCATCCAAGAAGGAAAAAGAATGCCCTCACGCAATTATCCGTATGGCTCGCGAGCTTGCTGCTGGAGAGGCAGATGAAGTCATCATAGTAGAGACTCCATACTATGGACAATGCCACGCAAGCCAACCACCAGAGGGAATGCGAAGTGCGAAGGAAGCTACACACACTCTTGGATGCACCAAAGGGCAAAGCCCGCAGTTGATACACTGACGGTTCCTGCCTGACATGATCCCACACAGAGATGAAGCTGTTCCAATAAGTGCTTGGGTGCAAAGGCAGTTGCCTGTATGCAGCGGTAAGGTCGTACGCCTTGCCCAGAAGAGGCACTCCAGAGGCGGCAGACATCATGGATTTTCCCATGGAGGCTAGCATGTCCACCGTGTGGGGTCGGGGGGATTCAGAAGTGGCAACAGTTTGGTTCACCGGCCGGAGGTCGTCAATTAATCTCACCTTCTCCCCCTGAGCCAGTCCTAATCTCCGGGAGACCACGGATCCATGCGGAAGTTCACTGAGCGGTATTGGTCCATGCAGCCAACCTTGCTGCACTTCGTGCTCAGTCTTGCGAAGGACTACCTCGTCCACCTCCGGTGATTGGGGCCGAGTTTGGGCGAGCGCCTCTGCCGTTATGGTGGAAGCACTTTCTCGCAGCTGCTGCGTGGACATGGTGGCAGGTCTATTCACGCTGTTAAACTGGCCCGAACACTCCACCTCCCCGGTGAGGGTAACACCTGCCGTGATCAAACTGAAGACTTCCGGGTCTGGATACTCAAACTGCTGCAGGAGCTCACGCCAAAGAAGGAGCCTCTTCGGTGCAAGAATTTTGGCAACCTCTGGACGCAGGCCTTGCTTGAAGGCCCGCCCCTCCCCTTCCAGCGCATGCGCACGGGCTGCCCATTGCCTGATTAAGGTTGCTCTTTCCTTTGCCAGTTCCTCCGGCTTGCTCTGTGAGCACTTATTTTCAAAGTGCGCCCACACTTATTTGTATTCAAATCATATTTGACAAACAATCTTCACACGAATCAGGTAGTCCCGAATATTTCA